CTTCTGGAAATCGCGAGAAAACAGCGGTTTTCAAAAAATTATAGCTTCGCAATGGCGCGGCCGGGAGCCGGCTTCTTGAGCTCATTGGGAAGAACATTTTTCCGTGTTTAAACCTCCCGTTTCAGCTGGCTCCCCCTTTAAAAACAAATGCACAAAAAGCAAATATTTGAAGGTCGTTTCAAGAACCCCCCCCCCCTCCCCCCCTCCACAGCCAAGTATTGTTTGGAACAGAGGCTAGCAGTTTCACGCCTCGTCACTCGAAAATGTGGTACCAAGCGCAGAGAGCACCGGTTTTTTTTGTCATCGCAGCTACACATTTCGCGCATTGTCACCAAACGCTGCCGCCAAGTGCATCACACGCCGCCTGCACTGTCCACGTTGCCGCGCACTCCATGGTCATTGGAGTGCTGTCAATAAGCTTTTGTGATTCGGTTTAGACGTGCTTGGAGCCGTGCTTGGTATCGCCACGAGCGTCTAAGAATGTTCTGAGACAATAAAAGCCTCGTAGATTAGCATTTCTGCAACCGGCTGTATGATGATGCATTCCACGGGTAGTGTGGCAAAAGAGCATGTATGAAGCAGGGGCACGAATTTTCATATGCCCGTCTGGCGTCATTAAAAAACTGCCAAAAAATTCCTGTGCCACCAATCTCCTGCCCATAACTTTGTTCTTTGGAAAGAAGGCATAGGCTGTTACGGTGTAAGCCATTTTTTTTTTATGCAATAAAACTACCACTATATATAAAAAATGTTCAGTAATTATTTGTAATCAAGTACTTAATTATGTTAAAGGCACACTGGGCAGAAGCCACATGCCTGAGAAGTCTGATATCACAAGAGAAACCTGAGATCACAATTTTTAGGCATTTTAGAGACGTAAAGAGAATTTAAAACTTTAAAACGCAGTTTTCTAAATACTTTTTTTTTTGCATTATGCTCAGCCCCTCCACAAGGTTCAATGAAGAAATAGTTTGTCTCTCATTAAGTATTTGTGGTATTGCCTCGAAATTTTTATGGAAGCACTGTGAGGCCATTCTTAGTTGATTGATATGTGGGGTTTAACGTCCCAAAACCACCATATGATTATGAGAGACGCCGTAGTGGAGGGCTCCGGAAATTTTGACCACCTGTGGTTCTTTAACGTGCACACAAATCTGAGCACACGGGCCTACATCATTTCCGCCTCCATCGGAAATGCAGCCGCCGCAGCCGGGATTCGAACCCGCGACCTGCGGGTCAGCAGCCGAGTACCTTAGCCACTAGACCACTACGGCGGGGCGAGGCCATTCTTAGTGTCTGTGCCAGTTTTCATCAATATCTAACAAGAAACAAGAAAGTTCGTCGAAAAAAGCCTGTTCAAAACTTCGACAGGCTTTTTCTCACAAGCGTGTTTTGGACATTCTGCATCGCTTGTGGAAAGTGTAGCACGGGAATGACTGGATGGATTTTGATGCAGTTTTTTTTCCTGAATCCCAAAAAATTTCTTGAGGGTCTGACAATTTTTGAATTCTCGTTTATGGCCCAGCTTTTTTTCTAAAAGACGACTTGTACATAACACCATTTCTTACAATGGGTGTAGGCAGCCGTGATGATCTCTATATAAAAAAAAAAGAGAAGTAAAAAAAATTCTAAGATTGTCATACCCAAAAGTCTTCTTTTGAGTAAAAATCAACATCATTTGCAGCTTCCCGACATCTTTTGTTACAGTGCTAGGCTTTCCACGAGCAGACCATATCAGTCGAACCATATAGCAAAATGTAACTTAAGAACTACTTATGGTACCGTGATGAAACTATATATTTCCCTATTCAAGACACTTATGAGTATGCATGCCAAATTTCATAGCTCTAGGTCAAGAAACAAAAGTTTCTTTTCAACGCCACCTCACCCCTCAACTCTTTTGTTACCATGCCTATTCAAATTGATCAGCGGTGATGGATGCTTTTGGACCGTCGATATTGATATGTTAGATTTGTTTTTCATGCACCCGGCATTTTCTAGTAGTTAAGTCCAGCCACTCAACTCTCAGAATCAATTTGAATTTGCCCGTTTTGGCAAAATAGTAATTTTTGACAAACCTTTGAACAAACCATTGTGTGTGTATTGTTGGAAAAGTGCAGTAGGCTGGCGAGTTTGACAGAAGTTCGTGCCCCTCGTGATTATGCTACAGTAACATTAAATATCTGTAATTAAAAGAACCTTTGTAAGCCAAACATTCAATTAAAGTGTCAGCTTTGCAATTTCACATATTGAGCAGTAATTATTACCAGAAGTTTATGCCAGCTATTCAATAGAGATCTGTTCTAAGGGGTCAGGAAAAGTTTGTTTTATGAAAAATATTTAGGAAGGTCTGCCACGTGTTTAAAAGTGTCAAGGTGGCCTTTTCTGACAGTTTCCAGCAGCTTTGGTTTTGCTTGCATCATTATATCAGACGTAGGGTCACTAGTTCTATGACACTATATCTAGTGTCACTAGTTGCTCCTATGACGTCGTCGTCCGGCGCACATGGGTACGCATCAGCACTGCAAAACACGTGCGCTGCTCAAAACTGTCTTCGAACCCCACCTGAATTAAGAGAGGGCGAGCTTAGAGTTTGAGAATGACCGCAACTCAGCTTCAAGTTTTATGGCGACAATATTTCTTGTCAGCCTGAGACATCTGCAACCGTTCATGGGTTTGTTTTGTTTACATCCACAAGTTGCCTCCTCCACCGCAAGTGCGTATAGCTTCGGACCTTTGTGCACAATCTTAAAGCTACTCTGGTTACGTGCGAAGACCACACTTTGCTGGGGCGTGGTGTGCTGGCGGCAGCTGCAGACCTTCCCCTAAAGACAAGAAGGCCCCCGGAGAACATCTTGGCCCTGACTACAAAGTAGTGCGAAAGGTTTTAGAACTGCACACGTTTTTTTTTTCAACACAATGTGCTCAAAAATGCAAAGAAATATGCTTGGATTCATATATTGAAATGCCAACCTATGCGAAGTGAGGTGGCTCATGGAAAGAGGTGACACTAGATAAAATAACGAAGTTCATTGGACATCTCGTTTATGGAGGGCTTATTCACTTCATGGGCATTCATCTATATTGGAACACCTTGAGACTCTTACCGCAACACAAAAAACATTTACAAGGAAACTTTGTACAACATTAATTATTTTTATACTGTTCCTGGGTCATTCATCTACAAAACATATATTCTGAATCTTCCTTGTTTTGAATATTTTTGCATATAGTGTTTTTTGTTGCACTGTTTACCAGCTAACAACCAAAAATTACACACTTCTCACATTTTTATTTACTTTAAAATATTTTTGTTGCTTTACAACATATAACTTTTCGAAAGAGCATTTCATTGTGCAAAGTTTGGTATGCTGCAATGCTCGCTGGAGTACTTTACAAACTGGCAAAAACGATATTCCAGAGACATATGAAAAACACCATTTTCACGCGGTAACAAAAGAGTTAAGAATAGATAACTTTGAAAACAGGTGGCAGTGGGCTACACGGTCAAATGGCTTCGAAAAATCAAGAAATATACTATCCATCAGTAAGTTACTGTCCATGTTGAAGTGCAAGTCTGTTGTGAATTCTAAGAGCTGTATCTCACATGAAAAACCACTCCTGAGCCCACGTTGATCAGCAAAAAAATAATTATTTCATTCTAGATGATTGTATATGTGCGATGCAATGACGTGCTCGAGCATTTTACAGCAAATGCAGGTTAGTAAATCAGTCTATAGTTATCTAGTGAGTGTTTGTCGCCCCTTTTGAATATCCGGACAACTTTCGCAATCTTCCGATCAGACAGAAGCTCTCCTGAAGTTAGTGACAGACTGAAGATGCAATATAGGATTTTGCTTGACGTAGTGAGTGTTTTTTAGTGCTTTGGAGTTGATTCCATCAATGCCACAAGAATTAGATATCTTGAGGTTACTTATGAGTTCAATAATGCTGTCAATATAGATTTCGATGGGCTTCATGTACTGATACTCTAAGCCATGAACCCCACAATGGTGGAGCAATCTTCTTCAAAAAAAAAAGATGAAAAATATGTATTGAAGCTTGAGGGACACTTATTATCAGTAATAGGCACGTGGTCGCTGTCGTGTAATGAAATGTTATCGGTGTCGCGGTTCGGGGCTATCACTTGCCAAAATTTTTAGGGTTCAAATTCAGCAGATATGGAAGGTTGTGAAAAAAGTACTGATCTTTTGCAGTGCTCAAAGCCAAGTTATAATTTTTTAGACATTCACTGTATCTTGCACAAGCCACCGAGGAATCTAATTTTTCAGCTCACCTGTAAATGCATTTCTTTTTGTTTCTAAATAGCTTAAGGAAATTCGTGAACCAGGGGTTAGAGTTATCATTAGTTATTTTATTTCACAGGATGCACTGGTTCACTAATGAGCATATCATCACAAAACACTACGCAGTTCTCCTAGACCATTCGACTGTGCAGAGAAGGAAGAAATTCAGTATGGAAAAACAACTCTAGTTCAGTATTCATTGTAGTATAGTCACCCTTGCTATAATTACGAATAGTTTCGTTTACCTAGCCCATAAAGGCAATGGAATATTAATGCTTAATTGGAGCAGATAATGGTCACCAAAACCATCTATGTAAGTTATTTTCTCTAATGTTTCCGGGTTGCTTGTAAATACTAAGTCAAGTATATTAGATCCTCGAGTGGGTTGTTTGACAACCTGGGTGAAATTGAAGTCCAGGTGTAAATTAATAAAATATGATGCAATTTGGCAAGGCGAGATTAGCTTTGCCTATTTTATGTGCGGAAAATTAAAATCTCCCAAAAGTAAATCATATCTGCTCAGCAAGCCTTAAGTGCGTTAGAAATACTGTCGCAAATTTTTACATGTGTTAACAATTCTGTCAATAAAATTGGCCCCTACCTGAGGATTTAAACCGGCAGGTGAGCCATCATTGTGTTATCTAACCAAGTAGTAAATCATACACCTGAACAGGCCAAAATAAAGACCCTTGCCTTGCGACCTGGTGTGACTCCTGGTGTGTCCCGCTCCACGATGAACGCCGTGAAAGCCTTTGAGGTCGGACACTTAGGGTCTGGGTTGGAACGTGCCAGTACAAAATACCTGCGCACAGTTTTTTTTTACATGCACTTTTATTACAAAGCAATAAGAAATGCTCTGTTGACAAGGTAATCACTCTTGCTTCATTTTCGCAACATTGTTTAGAAGAAAAGAGTCACCATTTACGATGAAAGGGACAGTGGGCTAGTTGTTTATGCCTGCGTGCAAAATCTTGTTCACACGAATGAACACGAAGTGGACTCCAACTGCTTCAGTGCAATGCAAAGTGTTGAATATATATAAAAGTACAACGTGCAGGCATACACAGAAGGAAAACACACAAGGCAAAAGCAACAGTAGAAGAAGCCTGTCCTTGACAGCGGTGACAGATACAGTGCGAAAGTAGGCAATGTCGCATGCACACGGTTCATGCTCTTTTATATGATGAAAATTCAAGGGTTTTAGAAGACTTTCGAGGCTTTGTGTGCGAATTTTCAAGGACCACAATGTCATGTCTGTTAGAAAACCGACAAACGATTGCTCTGGAAAAGATGAAGGCTTGAAGTAACTAGAATTCATCGTAAAAGCAGCAGACATCAAAAACATCGCTCCAATGACATTCTATTTCTAGAAAACTCAATCAGTTTCTCAAAGTTGCATAGCTAATCACTTCCAGTATAACAAGTTGCAAACTTTTATTCAGAGAGGAAAAACTAAGGAACAGTTATTAGGGCAATGCCTTGTTGCTTTTTCTAAATTTTCGTATCAATTTACTTGGTTTTGGCAGTCTTCCTAAGGGCTCGTTTACACAGCTCTCAAACGAACCACCCCATCACCATCGCGGCACCGGTTTTCGTAAAGGAAGAGAAGGTACAAGCTGTTTTCTCTTCAAAAATGGATTGACAGCGACGTAGAGCGATGCTTTCATTTCCGTCAACGGAGCGGAGACGGAGCCCTACTCCTCATTGTACCAGGGCCGGTTCCTCGTCGGCGCTCCTGACGAACAGAAGAAAACGCGGAGAGCACAAAGAACGCAGCACAAAGAACGCGGCGGTACAACGACTGGGTCTCTGCATTCTCGTGCAGGAAGGGATTACAAAAACGTGCTGCTGTCGGCCTTGCAACCACCATCGTCTGTCCGTACACAGCTTCGTCGCGTATTCTCTACATTTTTTCGACCTGACAGTAACGGGACGGGTCGTTTGACAGCTGTGTGAACGAGGCCTAAAACTGTCTGACTTGATGATGCACGTCAGGTTGCTAAGCATTTCTGCCTTTTCTGCATATGAGTCTGCTGTAGCTGTTGTGGAGATAGGTTTGCACTAGGCTTACCTACTATGCACAACCGTGTAGGGATGCGACGTCCTCCACTGCCGCTGCGTGCGAAGACGTTGCGGCCGGGTTCGTCGTTTTCTCCGGCACGGCGCAGAAACCCCGCACGAAACAGGATAACAACAACGGGTTTATTAACCCAAGATGCTGCACAGTGCGATACTCACGGGCTTGCACGCCGTATAGGGAACTCCGCAAGACCGAGCAAGTACGCTTGCCTAGGGCGCGACGACTCCTGCACAAGGGCTGAAGTCGAACGCACGAACGAGAAGCCGCCTGCTTAGCAGCGCGTCAACCCCTCGTGAAGGCCTGAGAGCATCTGCCGCGACGAGCGAATCGTCGGGCGCAACACAGTTCGTAGGAGAGGAGGATGTCATGCGCGCCCAATGGGAAATGGCGATGCGTTGTGACGTAGGCCCGCGCAGCGCACCAGCGTAGCGTGCCCGGACATGCCAGCGCGGGAAGAAGCCAACGGTTGACTGGCCCAGGCCAAGAGGTGCCCTGGCAGCCATCTTGGCGGATGCCGGTGCTTATGCGCGCCCGGGCTACGCTGGTGGCGCGCGCGCGGCAGCTGGGGAATGAGGCGCCAGGTAGGAAGACGCTCTCGATTCCCACATCCCCCCCCTCCGAAGACCGAGGCCGCCCTAAATATGCCGTAATGACAGCATCCACCGACACCGAAAAAACTGAGGTCCAGGTCCATACCGTCCACGAGATCGTCGGGCGCCCCGGTGTCTTCGTTCGGCGGCCTCTCAGCAGAAGCCTGGGGTCGCGGGAGGGCGGCGGACAGCGCAGCAGCGATGGCCGACTTGAATGAAGAGTCCGTGACGAGCGCCGCCACGACCGCCTGAACAGTCGGTCGACAAGGCAGGTTGAAGGCCCGGGCCAGGCGGCACCGCCGGAGTGGACATGACCGCAGGGGCACCGCCGGACTTCGCTCGGTGAACCTTGGAACGGAGGTAGGTGGGTAGCCTCATGCACCAGCCGGACACCACAAGCATCGCAGTAGGAGGCCTCAGGAACAGGCGGCATCCAGGCACTTCCGGAAGCGTCGAGCAGGTACTGAAGGGTGCGTCCGCGAAAAGGACGCGGGACGGACTCGGGGTGTAACCCCACCAAGACTTTGCGTTGCTTGGACCAGCGACGAGTCGACACGAAGGCGACCGGGGCCTCAGTGCCATGTTGGAACGTCCACGTAGCGACTTCACGACGAGGCGGTGTCTTGTAAGTCGGGGCCGGGGGAGCATTCGACGGAGGCGGCATGGACGCGGCCGGTGCCTGCGGAACGACTGAGCGCGCGGCTGGCCTCCCGGGCTTCTTCTTGGAAGAACGGGTCATCGAGGAGGACATAACGAATGCTGAGGTGTCGGTGAAAAGCAGAAACGCACTGAAGGTGCGGCCCCGAAGGTGTGACAGGCTGGCCCAATAAAGAGAGCCTACTCCGTCGGATTGAAGGTTGCGTGAGTCAATAGGGCGCATGCTTCCCTTCTCCCACCGACTACTCGGAAGATACCCAGTGAGAGAGTGAGCCACCGGGGAAAGGGCTTTTTTCTCTCGAGCAGCCGGGAGCGCTGGGAACCAGGTGGATATTCCGCGCGCAGCACGTGTAATGGTGTTACCAGGAAGAAAGCTCCCCAGGTAGCCGTTACTGTTGCTGCTGGATGGGCTCTTGCACAGCAGCTATTATCTCCACTCCCTTACATGAAGGGGATAACGTCCCGCTACATGCCGGGGGAGAAAATCAGCCTAAGTGTGTTTCGCAGGTTGTACCGGTGGCGTGGTTTGGAACCAGTCTTATCCCGGTTCCCTGCGGTTCGGAGACCGCCTTCCCCTCCCCGAAGTCGTTGCTGCGGGCAACGAAAGGTTTGAGGTCGGAGACGTTAACTGGACCGCCGACTGGTCTCCCTTGGGAGTCAGCCAGCTTGTATACCAGGGGTGACACTTTGGTGTGCACTCGGTATGGGCCCAACCACTTGGCCGAAAGGGAGGCCGAGATGCCTTTGGCGGCGTCACTCAAGACGTGACTGCGCCTGAGGACGAGATCACCGACATCGTAACGGACATCCCGATGCGACTGGTCGTAATGAGCCTTCTGACCAGCTCGCGCTTTTGACAGGTTGGAACGCGCCAGGTCGAGGGCCGCGTCCATCCGTGAGCGCAGTTCCGCCGCGTAGCCAGACGGGCTGACCTTCGCGGCGCTTGCCCCGCCTCCGCCCCGTAGGACGCAGTCTATGGGGTTAGGCAGCTCTTTCCCAAAGTTGAGGAAAGCGGGCGTGTACCCTGTCGAGCGATTGACCGTAGACCGCAAGAAGAAGCCGATCTCGTTAAGACAAGCATCCCAATCCCTGTGCAGCTGCGCAAAGGCTGTCAGCAAGGGCTTGAGGTTCCTGTTGATCCGCTCGGTCGGGTTGGCCTGTGGGTGATACGTGGTTGTTTTATGGTGCTTAATGCCAAAGGCAGCACACGCATGCACAAACACCTTGGCCGTGAAATAAGACGCATTGTCCGTGATCAACTCCGCCGGAAAGCCCAAGCGGGTAAAGACTTCGGTCAACTTGTCCCAGATTACGCGTGCCGTTAACTTCCGAAGGGGAAACAGTTCGACCCACTTCGTGAAGTGATCTGTGACAGCCAGGAGAGAAACATGGCCTCTCCGGCTTCTTGGGAAAGGTCCCATAATGTCACAGGCCGCGACCTGCCAAGGCTGTTGGCTGTCGATCGGCTGCATGAGCCCGGGAGGTTTGCCCCCGCGAGGCTTCACCCATTGGCACACGCGGCATGAGCGGGCGTAGTGAAGGGCGTCGCGCTTCATGCCAGGCCAGGTTGCGGAGCGGCACAACTTTTGAAAAGTCTTAAAGCCACTCGCGTGTCCGGCCAACCGCGAGTCGTGGAAATAATCTAAGGTGGCTTTCCTTAGACTGCGGGGTATGACCACCTTGAAAAACTCCTGGGGAGCTTCTTCAGATGGGACATAGCGCAGGAGAACGTCGTCGGCACCAAGCAGGTACGAGTCCAACGTGCCCGCAGCAATACCAGCCTGCGTATGGCACTCGGCGCCGACAGCAATACCAGCTGTCTGTTCGCGCCCGGCGGCTTGACCGCCACGCTCCACTTGGGAGCTCAGCTCTTTGAGCTCATCAACGATGTGTTGACAAAACGGATTGTCCTGCTGTGCCTTGAGCAGCTCCTCTCTGCTAAAGACGATACCGGCGGACGTGACAGGGTCTACCAGGTATGCGTCCTCATCGGAGGCTGTAGACTCGAAAGTCACTTCGGCATCGGGGTTTGCGCCTTTCGACTCTTTGGAGTCAGAGGGCCCGGGGTCTACTTGATGTGATTGCTCTCGGGAGTGGCGGACACCAGTGTCGGACGCCGAAACGGGGCACGTGACAAGGCGTCAGCCACGACGTTCAAACTCCCTTTCGGTAGCGCACAACAAAGTTGTACCGCTGCAAGGTCAACGCCCAGGCGGCCCGAGAGCTCGCACAAGCACTTAAGGGGGGAGGCTACCATAGGATACCAACTTTTTTGTTTATTGAGATATCTTAATGAAATTTTCAGGATAGACTTATAGCAAAAGCATTAGAAGAACTACAAAATTTCATCAAGTTATGTTCACTGGTTTTCAAGTTACAGCAGAATACCAGGGTAGTGCACATGGTTCTCTTATTCCAGGCCTGGAGAACTTTCAAAAGGTGCTGGAACTGTGAAATTAACTATGATGATTCCCA